CTTTAACAGTACAACTACAAACTTCCGTGTATTAAAAATTATACACGTAGTTACCCTGAAAATGGGGATCTTCGAATATATAGTATTTTTTGAGTTCACTGATCCCGGGAAACTGCTAGGCGACGGGGACATGATGGGTATGTCTACTATCCTAAAAAGGTATAACAAGGGAGTTAAACAATTGGTGAGAATGAACAAATACAAAATAGGAGTTACATTTGAGTGAGCTTCGTTTGCTAATGCTGCCCTCACAAGTTCTAAATACATATTTGGATTCGTATAAAATGAAAGCAACTATTCCATCAGATGTGACAGGCGTCATCACACACGTTAAAATCAATCTATCTAACCAAGAAATATATGACACCATCTCTAGCACAAAACACATTGTACAAATAAGACGTTTTATGAGAAGAAATAAAGTAGAAATCGATTTTCAGATCACCCCTACCCAAACCGTGTCCATAACCTTTTCCTGCCCAGTCCTGCCCGATTCTATCGACCTCAACAGTTGGCGCTTTGAAGTCAAACCTTACATTCTACGAGTGAAGCAATGCCTACGATGCCTCAAGTACGGCCACATTGGCAAATTTTGTAAGAACTCTAAACGATGCTCAGTATGCGGAGGCAACCACAACTTCAAAGCATGTGCAATAGATTCTAAGGTACATTGTCAGGGTCGCCATATAGCCATATCCAAGGACTGTCCTGTAAAAATTCAAAAATTAAAACAAAACACAGACTTATTTCAAGATAGAGCATATTCTACAGTAGTCAATGAAAAGTCATTTCCCTCCTTACATAAAAAAGTATCGCAAACAGATCAATTTATATCCCTTCTTAATTCAGATAAAATTTTAGACATTTTACTAAATTCAATGATTAAATTAATATCTCTCAATAAATTGATTCAAAAAGAAATCAATTCGAAATCTATCAAAGATAGACACTCATAGAAACATTCAATATAGAAAAACATCATATTGTACCAATTTAATGGACAGTCTAAATATAGTTCAATGGAATGCTCAGAGCTTAATGTGCCATCGACATATTTTTTCAAAATGACAACTCTGTTCACATGGCAGTAATTTGTGAGACATGGCTAAAACCCCATCATAAAATACGATTTAAAGAATATAACATGGTTAGACTAGATTCAGGCAACACTCATAATGGTGTAGCCATATTCACACATAATAAATTAAATCACACTAGTATACAAACAGAATATGATGATGATTCTCTTCGAAATGTTGGTATTAGATGAAAATATTGTATTAAATAATTATTTGTAATAAGCTTATACAGTGCAGGTAAATGCACTCCTCAGTTTTCAAAGAGAAAGTTAAATAATCTCATCCGCAGTATTCCTGAACCAATCTTTCTGGCAGGTGATTTTAATGCCCACCACCTGCTCCGGGGATGTTCCTCTATTGATGCTAGAGGTCGTGACGTTTATGAAAGTTCACATGAAAACGGTTTGGTCATTCTTAATAGTGGACATCGTACAACTGTTGGTTTTCACATTTGGAAGCCCAGTGCTTTGGACTTAAGCATTGTTTCGCCATCTCTGGCTCTTAATTCTGACTGGATGGTAACTGATGACCCACTTGGTAGCTTTCATTTACCTGAAATAACAAAAATATTAATTCACACCAATTGTCATGATTTTGTACCTAATGATCAAAACAATATACCTTTTCCTCAGCATTTAAATAGTAGAAACATTGATTTTTAAAAATACACAAAGGTGTTAGATAGTTTGATATTAAATCCTAACTTTGACCTTCGTAATTCATTAAAATCATATTCAGAATTAACTGCCATTATTAATGTGGCTGCAGAGTAATCGACATTAATTCCACACAAATGTACACCTTCCCATAAAAATCACTCCTTTTGATAAGGAGTGATTTTGGTTAAGGTGTGAATTAAATCTTGCTTTAAGCAAATTAAATAATTATTTTAACTACTTAAACTTAGATATAAATGCTGATTAGATCTTAATAGTTATTTCCAATGGAGTGAGCATTAAAGGAAAACACTACAAAATCTTTTACAACAATTCTGAGTTATCTTTTGCTGACTCCGTAAGATTTTTTAAGAGATTTTAGGTGTTACTTTTATGAAAAACAAAGAAACAAAACAAACAATAAAAAAAGTGTCGTGGAACAAATCTGTTGTGCACACTACCTTACGAGCTTCAAAGGCATTAAATATTTTGAAATCATTATCATCAACGTACGGGGGTTCAGATCCTAAAATATTTTTGAATTTATACAAGTCTTTAATACGCCGCTAATTCGAATATGGTTTCCTTTGCTTTGCATCAAATGATAAGTTGATCCAAAAATTAGATATTCTCCAGAATTACAGCTTAAGAGCTATTACAGGCGCTTTCAGAACAACCCCAATTAAGTCCTTACAGGTGGAATGTAATGTTCCCCCTTTAATCCTGAGATTTAAATATCTAAAATTCAATTTCCTTCTCCACTTAAGTTGGTTAAATTCAAATCTCCTTTAAAAAAAATTATAATTTATATAATTCGTTTTCCTTCAGTGATCTTTTTTCTATCATGAAATAAAACTGCGCAATAATTTACATATAGAGATTATAGAACATATAGAACTGGACTTGTTTTGATAGAAGCTAAGAAAGCAAATATACCATCCCTATTCACATTGATCCAAACTTGAAAAACAAGGAAGAAACATATCAGGCAATTTTCACTTTTAAAGATCTGATACCAATTTACGCGGATGGTTCAAAGTCGGCCTCTACCTGTTCATTTGCTTTTTATGTACCACATTTTAAATTCGGTTTTGGAGAAAAGCTAACAATATTTTAGTGTCTTCTCTGCACAATCTCTGACTATTGTTATAGTCCTCCAGTTTATAAATCAAAGCAAACACACTAACAGGTGGCTAATTGTGACGGATAGTATGAGCGTCTTATAATCTCTGCAAAGCACAAATATGAACAGTAAAGTTAATTACATTATTTATGACATTAAGGTATGTGGACACCGGCTCATAGTAATGTGAGAGGCAATGAGAGCGCAGATTTTCTTGCGAAAACTGCATGCAACTTCAATGGAAGCCAAGGCACTGATGAGGGCAGCACTGCCTCATAAGGCGTCCATTATACAGACTTAGTATCTAAGATCAAGAAAGATATCCTCTCTGAATGGTCCGCTCGTTGGAACGATACTAAAATACACAAAGGTTCCTGGTATGCTTCCATTAATCAAGTTATTGGGAAAAATCCTTGGTTCTCCAAATCACAACAATATAGTGGAAGAAAATTTAATACAGTAATATCTCGCTTACGATTTGACCACTGTCGCATCAATGTACATTTACACAGAATGAAAACAGCCCTGTCGCCTAAATGCACAGAATGCAACTCAGACTTGGATCACTGGACCACATATTATTTCTTTGCCCTTATTATAATATTCAGCGCTTAGCCTTAATTGACAAGCTATTATCTAGGAAATGAAACTATTTTTCCGTATTTAAATCGCGTATATTTGTTTTTTCAAACAAACCGACGTTTCGGGCCCTTTACAGGTCCCATGGTCACGGTTGACTGATGTGGTACAGTCTTTAACTAGATATGTCTAATATTGATGCAAACCACCCTATTTTTTCACTATAGTTACAATAGTTATTAATTAAATACCTTATTTTTAATTTTACAAAGAAAACATCCCAATTTACGCTACATTAAGTTTTACAAATTATTTTATTGAATGAATTTTTATTAAGTTCAATTTATTATTAATTAATAATAGAAAATTAATTAGAATAAACTAAAACATATTCATTAGTACTGCAGTCTTATGTCTGTTTGGGATTTAATTAATATGTTTTAGTTTATTCTTTAGAATGGAGAAGACCTTTAGAATGGATTTGGATTTAATCAGAATTGACTAAATATTCGGAATTGACGATCAATGGACTTAACATTTCCTCGGAATTGAAACTTACCCGGAATTTAAAACTTTATACCCTGACTTGACTCTAATCTGATATGACCCAACGAAGACGAGATTTGGTGCCTATAAAATAAATAATAGACGAAAGACTTGGCATATGCCTATTTTTTATTAAAAATAAAGGGAAAAATTACCAAGACTTGGCTGTATGGTGTAAAACCTTTGCCTTTTCCTTTGAGGAAAGAATTGAAAAACAACAATAACAAAAAATATTATTGTTTTAATTTATTTGTAAGTCAATGGTTTTAATACTGTTATTCACTGTATTTTTTAACTTTTAAAACTGTTCATTCCATAAAAAATACTATATTGCTTATTTTTGCAAAAGGATCTCATTTAGAAAAGCTCATCCATGATAAATAATGCTTTTGCGTGCTTCGGGTCGGTTTTATCAGTGTTTAGTGTAAGTGAGATAGCCAAATAATTGATAGAGATAATAGATGAGACAGAGATATGACTTATTGTGGATTGGTTCATGGATTTTTTTTTTTCATTTTTCATTCTGTATACAACATTGTTAGAGTGCAAGGGAATTATTTTCACGAAGATATTTCCTTTCAAATTATAACTGAATTTTGAAAGATCATATTTTGCCTCGCTATTAAGAGGTCAGGGCAAAAATTTTAAAAATCACACAACTTTCATAATCACTTGCTATTGATATTAATAGATTAGATTAGGTTAATAGTATTTCCATAAGTTTTAAATTGAGAGCTTAGGTGTCTATGAAAAGTTTTGTAACTGTCAGTAAAATTACGAACTGTCATACGAAACAAGCCATTCTTAATGACATTCGCTGCTGAAGGTATTGCATGAGGAGCCACCCTTTAATGAGATTAGTTTTTCGCAGTAAGATTCAATATTAAGTCGCCAAGTTAGATCATCATAAGGAATGGGAATCCCGGCAGATGACATTACGTAGAGTTGACATAAATAACACTTTATTAAAAAATAAAGATATCACTAGACATATTTTTCAGCAAATTGAGACCAAGAAATCGAATAGCTAAAATTTGTAAGTTAACTCACCATTAAATAGGGGTGGTAAAAGTGAATTATAGGAATATCGTGCGTGAGTCGAGAGTGGGCTTTTTTAGATCAATAAATTCGTAAGTTATATAATTTTTAAACGCAGGCTCATAAATACCCACCCTTTGAAACCTTGGTATAAGTAAAGCAACATGTGATCGTACATCAGTGCTTTTATCACATTGAAAGTAGTAAAAATAATACTAAATACAAGAAACAAATTTTGTGTATGCGAAATTTTATAATACTCCGATTTAAGCTTAAAAATGTTATCGACTACTTTGTTCATAACATCTTTGAGGCTGCAAACTGGACGACAGCGACCGGCGGCACGGTGGCGGCAGCGACGCGGGGGCGGCTTGCACGACTTGATGAAATAAATGCCTAGGTTTGATGCGCGTTAAAATAATCGTAGTATTGTCCTGTTGTTTACCTACATTTATATTTCGATCAATCATTGGAAGGCATAATTTCAGCAGTCTTAGAAAGACCACTAATATGAAACAGCAAATACACTAATGACCTTTAAATACCACGTCAGGTGTAATTTTATGCTGTATTCGTTCATAATTATAAAAACTGGTTTGATATTTTCAAGAATATAGTCGAACGTAATTAAAGACATTCTAGTTTAGTTATAGAACATTTCCGAATTTTGTCTTTGATCTTCGTAATTTCGGTGTAACTCGACTTTTTGTTCTCTTCTCTCTCTTCGTCTTCTCTTGGTCATAATAACTCATATTTAATAAAAGAATTACTATAAAAAAGGTCACGTCGAAGTATCGATATTTGGCGCACACTCTCTTCACGTCGCTTCACCTCTGCAAAGTTGGCAACGAGAACGAGCCAGTTTTACCGTGTCCCGCCGCCCGCTTCGCTGTCGCCACCGCGCGGGCAGTCGTCGTCCAGTTTGCAGCCTATCTCTCTCTCTAGAAAAGTTGTCAATTTGCAGATATAGCCGTATTACATACACCAAGGATACGAATTGTAGTTGGAGAAAGCACAGAGTATGAAACGTCGTTGTCTATCAAACATTCTAATGTTAAGTAGTCCGATATATATTTTATTTAATTAACTCTTATCTTTTTTCGTTCAGTACCACAGGAAAATCTTAAGCTTATCTCCATCTTGAGCATGTTGTATATGATGTCAATACGCTGGAAGTTCCTATAATACACTCATCTCAGAACTATTGTGAGAACTAATGGTTCGAATCAAATAGTGGCTCCTGGAACATCTAGAAAATCCTGTTGACTGAAACCGGTACTGATATTTTATGTGCTTGATTTCCGTGGTGTTCATAGATGTCCCTGACCTGTTATCGTGTTTAGGAGTAGGTGAAATGCCTATTCCTTACGGAATGGAGAAGTATAACTTATTTTTCTTATTTCACAGTTCCGCGTATTAGTTTTTTCAATTGAATATTTTTTCATAGTGATTTTTGACCCCAATTATCTCAAGTCACAAATCGAAATAAAAAAATTTGGATTACATCATGACTTGTAGAATTGTATCTCTATTATATCTTCTAATTTCACGCGGTTCGATCGAAGAACGGCCGATTAATTCATTTCGTATGCTGTGCAATGTGAGCGGAAGATGAGAGAGAAAGCTTCACTTCGTGTACCTTGATTTGGCTATTGACTTAGGTGCATTCGATTTTAACATAATATAATAAGACAAGTTTGGTAATTCCATTCATATGCGGCAACGTGCACGCCTACCGCGCGCCGTATTCGGTCGCGCACATTCGCATAATAATAAAGCGCTCAGAAACGCGATGGCATAGCGAAATTATGCGAATATGTGCGTCCATGCACGTGACGAGCGCGCACACATACAAACCGCGCTGCTACGTTTGTGTAGAGTTACAATTATACTATGATTTTTATCATTGTGCACAAATTCGAGTAATAGTTATTAATGGAAATGAAGTTATTATTTTCAAGAGTTTGATACCATCGCATAGTGGTCGTGGGTAGCTGCCATAATGGTGGATTCCGAGATCATTGATTGAGAAATAGCAACCTCCAACGAGACGTAAAACCAGTCAAAAGTTAACGTATTGTTTATAAATTATGAATAATCACGCCTCCGACGCTTGGTAAGTACACAAGAAATTATGCATTAATTGAATCTCTATGCAAGGATCGTATAAACGACGTAATATGTAGTCGTTAAATTTGCCCAGGAGATTATTCCGTAATTATAAGGGATATCAAAAACCTTTAAACTGATATCGAAAGTATGCCACGTAATGAGTAAAACGACACCAATAACTTTTTTAAATCAAATAAGAAATATCCAAAATTTTAACGCTAAGCGCTCCCATACATCAACAGTTTTTGTACCATCATAGGTAATGCGTAGAGTTGCCAGAAATGTAAATTATAATATTTCCGTCAGGAAGTTTTAATTCAATTTAAAATTTTAGATTTTACAAATAGGAAAATGACTCCCTTTGACCCAAGAGTGAATGGAAACCAAAAGTCTTTTATTTCCTAATATTCCCCAATTTACCAAGAAGAATTTGTACTAGCTCGAGTCGGACAAAGAGCGTGGGTCACTCGAGATGAATTGTGTACAAAACTTGACCTTAAAGTAAAACTACAATCTTAGCTTTATGTAATTATATCTAGATTAATTTTAGTCGTATTTTTTAAGAACTATACAAAATAAGGAAAAACAAATGCGACAGTATGAAACGGCTGACACTCCGTTATTATAATAAAATAGCAGTTAGGAGTAACGGCGATGTTACGGTACGGCGTGAATGGGGTCGTAATGTGAGTGTACGTTTACGTTGTAAAATGTAATGGAAGACAACACCAGGTAATTAAAGCTATCTACATGGAAAGTTGCACAAAACTCGCAATAACCCGCAAAAGTAGCCCCAGGCAAGCAGCTGGCTAAGCATTTTGTACCATCAGATCACTTGTAGGGTGACCCAAAGAATACAGGTGTCAGGTTCGTGCTACGTATGAAAATCTTTTTGTAATTGATGAATTTTATTCAATTACAGACGCATAGTAACAAGAACAAAGAAGCAGGGCCCGCTGATGTTGGAGCTATATTGTACTTTTCTTATATGCAATTAATGCAAATTAAGAAACTAATGTGTTGGATGTCTTCCATTTACTTGACCATTACTGTTGCTTAAAACTTTAGAAAACCAAGATAAAAATGCGAAAAAATACTATTAATGTTAATTTGTAGAGAAATACCTCTAAAACAGAAGTAAACGGTTTGACAGGGATATAGCCACTTTAGAAGTCCAATTACATACCCGTTTTACATTGAGGAGACTTATGGAAATTCTCGAAGAGAACTGGGTTTGGAGTATAGGCCATGTTTCGTGAGAAAAGCCCGAAAGATTTTTCTACGGCAGACGTGTAAAAATCTGTGAGTTTCCTACTCGTTGGAATATATCTAGTCAGCCGCTCAAAAATATTGGTTATATTTACATTCGACACAAAAGTCACCAGGAATTGCTTAGAAAGAAATTAACAAATTTTTTGACTATAACAATATGCTCTCTGAAAATCAATTTGGTTTCCGAAAAGGGAAAAGTGAATGAAATGATTTTCGTAGATTACAGTCGGGCATTCGATACGCTTCGACACGATACTTTGATAAAAAAGTTAGATAGTAGAGGGGTAAGGAGTCCATTGCTAAACTGATATTGAAGTTACCTAGAAGAAAGATCGTATTGTGTTAAGAAAGGTAAAGAGTCTATCAAGAAAATTAAAGTAACCAAACAGCACAAGTACCGGTTCTGCTTTACTTTATTACTTGGCGTACGTCAATGATGTCAATACGGTGATGGGTAACTGTAAGATTTTTCAATATGTAGACGATACCTAGTAGCAGCTGATCGTGACCCCCAGAGTGGCACTCTGACGTCTGCAAAATGAGTTTGATGCCATTTATAAGTGGTCACATTCACATGATGCGGGCTTAGTACTCAATGCGCAAAAAACGAAATTATTGCATGTACACTCCAGTTACACCAAAAAATGAAAGGGTACATACAGTCGCGCTTAAGTACCGATGTCTGCACGGTGGTAATTATCCTGAAGTAGTTAGTATGTAAATGTGATTTGAAAATGTTAACCAACATACCTACCTTGGTTTTGTAATTGACCATTGATTTAACTGGGATCCGCATATAGAATTGGTTTGTTCTAGATTACGAGCAGTTGTGGCTAAGTTTTATCTAATACAACGTCGTGTGACTGGCAATATTCTCATACAAATATAAAGCGTTGGTTGAGAGTGTTGTTATTATATAATAACAACACTCTCAACCAACGCTTTATATTTGAGATTGATTGATTGATTGAGAGTGTTGTTATTATATAATAACAACACTCTCAACCAACGCTTTATATTTGTATATGGCTTAACTACCTACGATCATACCTTTAAAACGTACTTAGAACAGATTTATAAACTCCTGTCAAGGATTTTAAAGTTAATTGTAAGTTTTTAAAATTAAAGAACAATACCAAAGTAACGACGAGAGTCTATTTGAATATTGCGGTGTATTAAATGTGCAAAATAAACCGTAAAAATTTACTCTTAATAGAAACCTAACTTTTTTAAATTATCAATGATAAAAAAGTTGAACACACCAAGGTTACGAGACAAATCACTTCACAAACAATATCAATAACATCAAGAAATAACTTTTATGGAAAAAGGACTACTAACTTTACCGTACCAAGACTAATTAACACTTTACCTTTGGAATTAAAGAAAAACTAAACACCTGTAAAATTAATCGTTCACTTAAAAGTAATTTTTAAAAAACTAGTCCGTTATGCACTTAATTTAATTTGTCAGTATGCTGTATGAGCACGGGCTTAGTCGATATCACGCGAGTTCAAAATCTAGTTTTGTGTTGCGTTTTAGAATATTTGTTCTTTTCTTTTTTTTCTCATTTCATATTCAAAATTATTTCATAATACACACCATTCTTTTGTTAATTTTCTCAATTTCATACTCAAAATTACTATTATGTCGTGTATTTATTGGTTTATAAGAGGATTGTGCAGCACCTAGACCTACCGATGTAGGTTTGTCTAGCTGCTGCACAATTTCTTTGCGGCAGACGATTTGCAAAACTGGTTCGAATATGGGGAATGTTCTACTAGTCGCTTCTTGGTGAGCTGTTTACAACATAGAGATCTTAAGATAGTAGGTAGTTGTCGTAGCTTTAAGTCTGTATAGATGACGGATTTCCAATACTTTGCACTCTATGTACTCTGTTACACATACTGTAACATGTGCTGTTCTGTACATAAAAGGTTTACGAAGCCTTACATAGTATGATAAGACCAGTATGGTCACTTCACACAAACACGTTGTGTTTATGGTTCTTTGGACAAGAATGCCTCAAATTTGGAATTAGCTTTCTTTTCGACACCTACTGAACATGAGAGGTAACTTACACATTTATATTTGACGACCTTGGTGGAACAGTCTTTTCGAAACAAAACGAACTTTCCTAAATTGGTTTTCATCTGGGTGTTCTGGATAGTGTTCCGGATTAATTTCGTTGCCCTGGTACTCATAGTATAAGGAATTCCTTCATTTGAAATCGGGTAACTAGTATACTTGTCTGGCACATTTATTATATTATCTATTAGTATCACGTTTTTCTCTCCTCTATATTTCAATATAAAACGGAAATCCTGCGATGAATATTTAATTTTTTTCAAATAATATTTACAACCTGTAGATTGTAACAACTAATATAATAATAATGTAACAACCCTGTGCTCCGAGCGAAGTGTAACCATAGTGTAACCGACGATGCGCCGAACTACTTGAACTTATTTTACTATGGTAATAATATGCAACCGCAGTAGGTAGAGAACGCTCTAATATATAATAATTAACGATATTTGTATATTATATTTTTATTGATTATAAAACAAATTCAAGGTTATAAAACAACTTTTTTTTAATAAACATGTAACAAGTACTTACTTTGTTGTTATTATGGCGCCTTCAAATTAAACGCTTGCAGAAGCGCTGCAGAGACACGTCTGTGCAGGAGCCGCGCCAGTAGTACCGGCACTGACGCAGCGTCATAGTGGCGCAATTTGAAGGCGCCCTTAGTATCTACGACTGAGTTTTAAAACTGTATAACAATTTTGATATATCAAAAAATTTATTTCATACAGAATTTCACTAAATTTTAACCGGTAGCGACAAAGAACACTAACGGTTAATATGAAGTAACAAAACGAAATTAAAAAACAATTCTGTTGCAAGTCTATATTTGGAAAAAGCTTGTATGTCAATACAGTGAATTTACTCTACCGAGAAATGTTATCTCGTTCACGTTTCCTAACTAATGATCAGAATATGCAGAGATCAATTTCTGAACGATGAATATGAAGTATGATGGAAATATGCAATTATGCCGCAATTTTCTTGTTTTTGCTTATTACGCTTTGCTAGGTAGTGTGCTAGGTACGTCACAAGTGACAGAATTAAAATTAAAATGTAGTCTTTTTTTTTCATTTACAAAATTCATTTTGTGTTTTCTCTGCAACTTTAACCTAATCTACAATATACCTAACTACAAAAAGCAATTCAGATATAATAGTATAGATAAAACATGTAGTGGATAATACCTCCCTCTCAAATGCTGAAATTATTGCGGTATGGTATGGTCGTTATTGTTGATGTGTAACTACTTGGTACTTGGTACTTGGTGCAACGGGCTGGTTTCCGCAACTCGACGACAAAGCGCCTATTTTGATGTGTAACTAACTACACGTTACTTTACTCCGGTAGAATAAGTAAAGCAAATTAACGGTAGAGTATTTAGAACAAAGTTTGTAATTGTAAGTCAGTTTATTTTTAATAATAATAATGTATAATCTTTATTTACCAAAAACAGGGTTACTTAATTTGGATTTACACTATGGTACTATGTTTCATAATACTGTTTTACCAGTGATTTCTCGCGATTCTCGCACTAAGTATATAGTGCTTATTGCCCAAATTTAAGAAGGTGGTATTATTCACTCTATGTATTTAAGTTTAGGTAAATATTCTCTGCTTATTTCGATCGCTGCTCTTAATAATAGAAATTTCATGTAAAGTTCTTAAATAAAACCGACCCTAAAATTTTTGTTGTCAAAAAGCTTTTGCTTATATTGATTAAATTTTTAAGTGTTCAATGTTGGTAAATCATTGAATCTTGTCAGTACGTTGTTAATATCTATGGAAAAGCAGTAGGCGGCAACTATACACAAAGCACTTGGAAATCAAACTGTAAAGCCCGTAGCTGTAGCTGGTTTTTAGAAATCCGTATAGCGAAACGCGTTAGTCCGTACTCTATATTCTAATATTTAATTTTACGGAAAATGCTAGAACTGTTGTGCAATAAACGCATAGATACCTACACTAAATTCATATTCAGGTGTAATCACCTCAACTGATGAAATAAATGACGACAAAGGTGACTTTCTTCTTTCTTGTTTTAATCAGTTTCCTCGTAAATCGGCGAAATAGTTTTCTACATGAAGCAATAAGTGGTTATCTCAGCGAAAACGAAATATCTTGAAAGTTTCATCTTACCGTCATATCACAGCATTAAGTCTGACAAGGATTTGATATCTGTGTTCAATATTGATACGAACTGGTTACAGTATAATTCATAAACACGTTTCTAAGTCATAGGAATCTAGCAAAAGTGAATCTACAGCGATAATAGAGCACAGGAACTGGTAAGTGCAAAAGCACTCTCAATGCTCTCTGCAAAGATCAAAGGAAGCAAAATTGTTATATAAATTAGCCGATATTGGAATTAAGCGAAGACGGTAGATGATGATTAAGGAGCCTGTCAATATGGAAGTAACATTTTCCAATTAAGAAAAACCCTCCTTATATTTCTTCATTAAAAGAAAAAAATCTCTCTTTATCATTATATTGGATGCCTTTGTAATTCAGACCTCTGATTTCAGTTCTCGACTCTAATAATGACCGCCAGACAGAGATTCTATCGTATACTAGCGCAGGCTTTTCTTCACCCAGTCACTTCATTAGTCCGCTTTTCTTGCCACAGTAAGTCTGCATTATGAGAAATTCTACGGACAGTGTACAGTGTGGCGCGAGCGAGAATACCGACCGTATGATACCTATTGGCGGTCGCGTTATCGGTTTTAAAAGGACGTGAGACTGTTTACAGAAAACAACATAAAATCGTACCCTCAGTACAATAAAGTGACATGCGATCATACATCAAAATGTGATTTTATCAAATAAATGTTGTAAAAATAACAGCATTTTCCATAAATGAAACAATTATGTATATGTGAAATTTTATTACTCTCGAATTTAGTATAAAAAAGTTATGGACTAATTTCGTTGGGCGAATATTTGAAACTCTCTCCTGAAAAGGTGCCATTTTGCAGATAAAACCTTATTAGACCCAGGCTGCGAAATGCTTAAAGAAAATAAACAACACACCGCCTGCGACCTACATATTGTCGGCCATAGTGCACTTACGCGTAACTAACATTGGATTATAAGTTTCCATTTCGGTAATTTAATGGTCAAATCAAATCTGCGTATATGTCGTAGCAACCAAATTAGCGTGATTTACGGGATTCTATTGTTATCAATCCGTAGACAAAATAGAATAATAATAAGAATGCACACACTCAACTCAGCCCACTGTGTAGCGGGTGCCATGGACACACATAGACAACCACAAATTACACCCAAGCTCACGAGGGAAATAAATGTAGACCGTACTAATATTTCTCCCGGCCCGGGAATCGAACCTTGGACCTTTGCGCTGCAGTCCAGCGTGATAACCGTTCGGACACAGAGGCAGTCAAAATTGAATGAAATGAAATGAAATGAAAATCTTTTATTTCAGGCAATGAAATGCCCATAGACAAAGTGTTAGTAAACAATTAAAACTTAGACTATTGTTAGTACATATAGCACAAATTAACCTAACCTTATTTTATATACAAAGGAACCGATTTGATTTGCCCAATCCAATACCATAGGATTGGGCAATCAAATCTGCCTGCAATCGTTTTCAGGATGCTGTTGGGACTCTTTCTGACACGAGTCAAGAGGGAGACGATCTTTTTCCTCATCAGTGCATGAAAGCCATCTGTGTGCGCCTCGGCAAACATGCCTGACGCACTGCACCATCGTGGCAGCCCCAACAGCATCCTGAACGCGTTGTTGTACTGTACGCGTAGGGCGTTATATGCTCGCTTTGTGTACTTGACCCACAGGCCGCTCGTGTAAAAAGATTGGCTATATGCCTTAAATAACACGATTTTTACGTCGTCTGAGCATCTTGCGAACCTGCGGGCCAGCATATTACAACGCACAGACAACGCCCTACGCTCTCTCTCTATATCCTGGTCATCACACAGGTCATCCGTCAGTATGTGACCAAGATACTTCACTCTTTGCACATTTCTAAGCACAACCCCACCAAGAGCGACGGGCGGTATGTAATAAGGCTTAATTTTGCCCGCCTTGAAGACCATAATCTCGCTCTTGGCA